GCTTTAGAATATCGTGGAAGGTGGGAATCAAAACTTTTCACGTTCGCCTCAGCAACTTAATTGGTAGAGAATCATTTGGGGGGAATTTCTCTGAAGCAGCTATTTTTTGTAGTGGGGCTAAAAGGTTTCTGAGCTCAAGAAATCTCACCAGATATTGGCTGTGACCTACTGTTGGATTAGACCCGTCACTAATCCAATTGCTCTGGCCACACAGCTCGTGTTTACATTGCCTCCTGAGGCTCTTCCTCGCAATCTGCAGCTTAGATGTCACCGGGAGACCACTTCCAGACAGTACTGACACCTAATTTCAACATTTGACATGTTGGACAGCATTTCGCACCGAAGATGAGTCAGGGCTGGTACTGGCTGCGCTGCCGTTATGTGAAGATGCCTTTCATGAAATAAAGGAGGCATCTTGATTAAAGGGGCCCACACAGCTGTGTTAAATCAAGCAAGCAGATTAGCACGCCTGCCATCTGCTGCTGGAACAAGCCATTTCTCAACCCTGTGGAGAGGAGTGGGGTTCTTAGTCTCATCACACCACCTTAAGGGGAGACATTACTGGGCCATAGAGTGTTAATCGGCACAAGAGCCCTGACATACACTATACACAAGTCAGCAGCAAACTGCTTTGTAGCCTATTTACTTTCTCCGAAACGCCTGTTTTGCAAAATGATGTACCAAACTCTTGTGATCACTTAGCTCCTTTTCCTACTAGTGAGTAACTGGCAGCGATCAAGCCAAGACACAGAATACAGGATTAATTACTGTACGTTTCTGCTGCTTGGTATTACAAGTGTGATTAGTGACTTTAAATTTCTGAAGCTTGACATTAGAGTAGGCCGCTCTGAAGGAAGATATGTGCCTTTGGGAAAAACAACTGCAGTTCCCTTTTGGGTATTTGCTGCACAGTATTAATCTAGTCATCCCTTCTGTCTAGCATAAATGTAAATTCAATTTATGCAGGTTGGCATGCAGATAGGTCTCTGGTTTGTATTTTTCAGCAGCACAAAGAAACTTGCCTATATACTAAATGCTGGAATGAAAACACTCATTGAGCTGCGACACAATCACAGAATCACCTTAGGACAGCTGGAAAATGAGATGTTATTCTGAGTCATTTAGAGGTGACCAGTATTTACACACTGCCTTTGGAGAAGCACATTCACGGCCTCTCCATACTAAATTAACCTTAAACAGATTTACAGAAACAGGAGATCTTAAGGAAAGTGCTTTGCAAATCTTTACCTATTCAGGCTGTTTTGATACCAGTGTTATATGTATACTGAGAGAAACATAATTCTCTTCACTTTTTTAGCTATTTGGCCTGTGTTATTCTGTTATATAGAAGGCACATGGCATAGGATTTAACCTTTTTCATACTTTAAATTGCAAGTACCAAAGTATCTGATTAACTGAAAGGGCTAGCTAAATCCTTTTATCATGTCAGTGCTTGTCAGCGCTGAAATGAATATCGCTGCATTGAATGTCTTTGTAACAATAAACTCGGGTTTCTCAGTGGTATCAAGTTCTATGTGGTCGTCTAGACTTCATGGCTTAGGGACAAATGACGACAATACCACTTCCTTGCCTCCATGTTACTGCCTGATCAGTAATGAAAATGCTGAGGTGACCAAATCTTTTTCTCTGCTCATTCTATCCCATTCAACCTGCGTCTTGCATTTGCTGTGGATTTGAAATTTGCGGTACTTTTTTATATATACTGTTACAAATAGGGGGTTTTGAAAAGGGTAAAAACTCAGGAATTGACCGAACAGTTTAGTCAATAAGTAAAATAAATTTTACTAACCCCCAACTTGTAAGTGATTTCTCCAGAATGTACTCTAGTGGATGGTATCATTAGTGGCACATTAAATCTTTGCTCTAATAATGCAGGCACACTTTATGTAAACAAATGTTAATGACAAGACAAACACTACACTGCATACAACAAAACATACAACACACAATTTACTTTATGTACAGTATTTACAAATGAGGCTTAACATCCTAATCACCCTGAAAACCCTCAGACTTTTACTAAATAACAGAGGCCACATCAGAGACATGTTGCCTTTCTAACTCAATACAGTGCGACCTGCAGTTAAATCTCTCTCTCTGCACCCCAGATGCCACAAAATAAATGGGTTTCCTTGAGAAAAAAATACCTTGGCTAGAGGAGTCTTTCCTGCTTGTAGGTGCATTTTTATGGATAGGGAGATAGGCTCCCAAGTTCCCTAAAAACACAGAATTGCATGCTCTCTCTAACAAGGTTCAGATACTTAGCTTCAGTTAGGATTTGTTCGGATGATCATGAAGTTGGGGCTCTCGCCTGGCGCAAGCTTCAAGTCCCAACTCCTCCAGGCTCTGGTGGTCTCTCCTCTGTCTTAATGTGATCTCTGCTGCTCAATGACACTCATTAACCCACATCTTACTTACCTAGAAATACCAAGGTAAACATTGCAATTGCTTTTGATCACACCTCAACAAACATCCCCTCTGCTTTGAAGCTAGAAGTGTGACCAGATGTCACAAGCCTGATCTAAACTCCAAGAGACACTTCCTGGTCACCTAAAGCTGTAAGATAGATAAAACTTTATTAATCCCGTAGGGAAATTGATGTAAGAATACATTTACATTTATTGATTGCTAATATTTATTGATGTATTAGCACCATTTTTTTCAATGCGTTAGTTTATTTTTAACCCCCCAGTCTGCAGATCTCCCTTTGTCATTGCCTCATTGTTATTGTCATGGCCTCCACCTCACTTCTGTGCCCAATGCACAATGCCATCGCTGGAGCAGTGAAGATCATGCATGCTCCCACACACTGCAAAACCCCCACTGTCCACAGGTCCAGGGCAGGCCTGCTGCTCTTCTAACTAAGAGAACTACAACCTTTCTGGTGCCCAAAGGGCCACCAGAGTCACTGCTGAGAGATGAGTCATTTATACCTGGCTCCAATGAATCCCACCTAGCCCATGCTGCAATCAGCCAACCATCAATCAATCAATTGTATTCATTCATAGCGCCTTTCAAGCAAAGGATCTGAGGCTTGAGGCTGCTGCTGGACATATCCACAGCTGACTAAAGCAAATGTTATATCTGGGGTTCAGAACAACTATGTGAAGGCTCTGAGAGGGTGGTTGGCACTCTGTAGTTTCGAATGGCTCATGCAACAGCTTTTGTTCCAGCTAACTTATACCACTGCCTCTGTTCTTCCAAGAAGATTTTAACAATTTGCAATGCTGTATTTTGCAGTAGCTTGGCTGCTTGGGCTTCATTCCTGTCTGTCCCTCTCTTAATCATCTTCTTATGCGACCCAAAAAAGTTCAGAGAAGAGTAGGCGTCCCTGTCTGGACAGAGCTTTTAATCAGTACCTGGATATCGCAAGTCGAAGTGCAGCTTCTTGATCCTAGGACAGAATTTGTAGTGGTTTTAACACTTCTGCATTTTGCACAAGATGCACGTCCTCATTTGTCCATGCCTTGTCCAAATTAAAAGCTTTTTCAAAGTCACAGATCTTTTCAAGTTTGTTGAGTGAGCTTTTCCCTTCCCTTCTGCAGACCTACATTTTCCTGCAGTTTTTGCTCTAAATCTTTTATCTTTTATCTCATCATGGAATGCTCTTAGCAGAAATATTTAGGTGACTTATTTTCCATATTTGCTTTAGTCAGCTGTGGCTGGTTTCTTGGGGAAAGGAATGAAGATTTCCATTCATTTCTTTGACATTTTCATAAATGCAGCTACATTATCTGTGAATTTTTTCTGTTCCATAATTGAGTTCTTTTATGTCGGCTGCGTTTCGTCACGTCTGCACCTGGAACTGTTCCCAAGCAGTATTTTCTTTCTCTGTTCCTTCCATTAAACCTTATGCTTTTGCTCCCATTTTCTCTGGTTTTCACCCAACATCTTCTGAATGTACATTTTCCCTCTGTTCATAGCCCCCCTTTAATTTGACATCTGCTGTCTCCGTGTTTAAGGCAGCTACACCGACAGACTTTGATTTTTTTTCCCAAGTTCTTTGTATTCTCCGTTTCATCCATCACCTTAAGCGTTAAGTCTCTTCCTCTCATCATTGTCAGATTGTTTGGATCTCTTTTTTGAAGTGTTTTCCTTTTAGCTACTCTTTTTTTTTTTGCTTAAAACCTTAAATCTCCTGTTTCATCTGCTTTTGTTGTCCTTTTCTCCAATGTACAAAAGAGGAGATTCTACCATACTCTTCAGTGACACCTGCAGCGTTCTTCTCATACTCACCAGACATCACCCAGCTCTCGGTTTTCTTATTTTCTGGCTTGTATTTCTTTACAAGGCTCTTTGACTCAATTTCTGGAGGGCCTTCAGTATCTTCTGTTTTTTGTTAACCTGAGCTGTCAATTAAACAACCAAATGATTTTCCTAGTTGGACATATGGTACATAAAATCCCTCTTAAGTTATTTCATGTTGGATTACTCACAATTCACCTACCCTGAGGTGCAGCTATCTACGTTACCCTGAGGTGCAGCTATCTTTATCGGACTTTGTTAGGAGTATTTGTATGCAGTAAATTATTTAGACCAATCTGTGAACTGCAAGTTCGGTTGGAATAAAAACCCGAAGATGCCGAGGCCTTCGGAAGCTGACATTGAGACCTTTTCCCTTTTCACAGGCAGAGGACCTGTGATTAGCAGGTGCCATCTGAATCTGGGAGTTTTAGGAGGTGGTCAGAGGCAGTCCTGATGTTCCTAGGGGTGCTTACCAATAAAGTCTTATCTATCTCTATCTCACAAGACCCTCTGCGAAGAAATCTAAAATTCTTATCTAATGAGGAATTTCTTTGTTCTGCATTGCTTAGCTCGCTTCCTCACGCACAGGGATGTGGGCGATGTGCATGTCCTCTGAAAAGGGCCCTTGGATCATTTGCCCACCCTGCGGTGACGAGGGCGGTTGTTACAGTATACTGCTCCCCGTGCACCTCCAGCTCACAGCAGCTCTGTTTTCGATGTGTGTGCCCACGCAGTCGTCGGCGAAGGGTCTGCGAGCGACGATCGGCGAGGCCTTCGAGCGGCTCCACCGCTTCCTGAGGGAGCGGCAGAAGGCCATGCTGGAGGAGCTGGAGCAGGACACCGCCCGCACGCTGTCCGACATCGAGCAGAAGATCCAGCGCTACAGTCAGCAGCTGCGTGATGTCAAGGAGGGGATCCAGATCCTGCAGGAGCGGCTGAGCGAAACTGACCGCCACGGCTTCTTGGAGGGCGTCGCGCTGACCTCTGAAAGGTAAGGGATCCCTGAGGGCCTCTGGGCCGCTGCAGGTCCCTGAGGGCTCTGTATATCTGGTGTCAGCCAGCAGCCACGTCACCCTGCAACTCACAACTGGCATCCAACTGAAACTAAGCAGGTGTGAGCTTGGTCAGTACCTGGATGGGAGACCTCCTTGGAAAAACTAAGATTGCTGCTCGAAGAGGTGATAGTGGGGCCAACAGGGGGCGCTCACCCTGTGGTCCAGGTGGGTCCTGATGCCCCAGTATAGTGACGGGGACACTATACTGTAAACAAGCACCGTCCTTCGGATGAGACGTAAAACCGAAGTCCTCTGTGGTCATTAAGAATCCCAGGGCATTTCTCGAAAAGAGTAGGGGTGTCCTGGCAAAATTTCCCATTGCCCCTTACCAATCGTGGCCTCCTAATAATCCCCCTCTATGAATTGGCTTCATTACTCTGTTCTCCTCCCCACTAATAGCTGGTGTGTGGTGAGCGTTCTGGCGCACTATGGCTGCGGTCACATCATCCAGGTGGGGCTGCACATTGGTGGTGGTGGAGGGGATCCCCATTATCTGTAAAGCGCTTTGAGTGGAGTGTCCAGAAAAGCGCTATATAAGTGTAAGCAATTATTAATTATTATTAAATTCTCTCTATATTTAGAATTACTTACATGCCATCTCAAACCAATCTGTAAAACTGGCTTAGGGATGATCCAGGCAGTCAAAACATGTCACAGAGGGACCAATCAGGACACCATTCAACTTTCTCAAATTAGGTTAAACAAGCAGAGGTACCCTTGGGCCCAAACACCAGGACCTGGGTGGACATCAGATGACTTGTGATCCCACAGATATAGAGAAGAGGACCACCTGAGTCTTGCAAATAGACAGTTATAGCCCAGAAAAAATGGGCTATAACTCGATAGCCCAGTAAAACTGTATCAGGCATAATAATATTTAATATTTATTAATTAACCATACTATTTTTAACCATACTATTTTTGCACTGTTCCAAGAATTACCTTGCACTGTTTTTGTCCTGTTATATTTTCTCTGTTTGGGGAATTTTGCACAGTTTTGATTACTTGATTACATGTTATTTATGTTATGTTATTACATGTTACTGTAATTGCTATTGTGTAACTGTCTATTGTCTTATCTTCTGTCCTATTTATATACTGCACCTGAGTGACTAATGAGAAACACTTTTCATTATACTATGCACCTGTGTAAGTTTAATGACAATAAAGTTTAATTGAATTAAAAATAACCTTCCTTATGCCAATGGAAGAAAAAGTAAATATGTTTAATTAAATAGTTATGCATTATGTTCATTTTGCTAGTTAACCAATATGCAAATTAAAATAGAAATTATTTTTGATTAAACTGCTAAAATTTTGTTCATTTGTTTCAATGAGGATTTTCCTGTTATCTACACACCATACTCCACACTTTTAATGGACAAAAATGTTTTTTGAAAAAAATATCTATTAATATATATATATTAAAAATGCTAAACTGAAATTACATGCGTGAGTCTGTTGGGATCGCCTCTTTATCATCCAGTTTTAATGGATGGCCTGATCTTGGAGGTACCATACACCTTTCACTTCTTAAAAATACCCTTGACCCTGCTGCAAGATCACATACTCATAGGTTGGTCTGTGCTTTACCATAGCTCTGTCCCTTGAGGTCTTTCGAAAGCTCTTGGGTTGCTCTTAGTTGAGTCTGTGCTTTGAAATGCACTACCCAGTAGAAGGAACACACAAGAGCAATCATGTGAATCACCACAGTTTAACATGGGTGGAGGCCAGTTTGCGTAGTGTTATTTTCAAATGCCGACTGGTTAAGGTTTCCTTGCTGTTAAGAAGGGAAGTGAATGTTTATCCAACCAAGTTAATTCAGTTTTTGCTTTAAATTCATTTGAAATGTCTGTAATATTTTTTTTTCCACATAGAAGATGTGGGGTAGGATATGTAGATAGTTAAAACTATTTTAATGCATTTTGATTCCAGGCTGTAAGGCACCAAAATATGAAAATTTTGAGAGGGGGTGTAGACTTTCTGTAGACACTATAGAAAGAAAGTGAGCGCTTCTAAAGTATAGTCAAGAGTTTGCATTTTGGCCACAAACTAATTCCCAATTTTGTTTGTTTTAACCAGAATTAAAGGGAAGATCCATGAAACCAACCTTTCCTATGAAGATTTCCCAACATCCAAGTACATGGGACCCCTGCAGTACACCATCTGGAAATCTCTCTACCAGGACGTTTCACCAGGTATTCTCCTGTCCGGTTTGAGATAGCCCTCCCTGGAGTTGAGTTTGGCTCAGCCACCAACGGAGATCATTCAGGTTTAGGGTTGTGACCTGGGCTCCCAGCATCAGATGCTGCACAATTAACAAGGCCATCTGTGTTGGTAACCATTAGTGTGCCTGGCTATCTCAGTTGGCTGTCACTCCAGTGACTGGCTAGGGGCTTACAAGCTTCTGGTGACGGCAGCAATTGCTCCTGGAGTCAGGTCTTGCTCTCCTGTGGGCCACTGAGGAGCTTGTGGTGTGTCGGGTGGCCAGTGTCTTCAGCCGTGTTCTCCCTGTGACAGTGGATACTGCCGCACAATGATTAAGTAATGTCTGAGAGCCCGAGAACTGGCAAATCTCCTTCTCAGAAGGAACGGTATTTCTCATTGCCCAAGTGCAGAAACCTGAACAGCAACAAACAAATGGCAGGAAACTGTTCTCTCCCGGTATTCTGTCAAATTCTGTAAGATGGGTCCATATCAGCACTTACTGTACAGCAAGACAATGTTGAAAGCCTGCCTGTGGGAAATGGAAAAATCTGTTTCTGCTTATTTCATTCAGATTCACAATTGGAAATGCTGATTTTATTTTTTTAGTGACATTACTGATATGTCCCCTGCCAATTTTTACAAAACTGCAGACAAGGCACTCATATGGGAAGACGATGGCATGAATTTTTATAACAGATGTATGCCAAAGTCGCAGTTCTCATTCAGTGCTCTTTAAAACTTAAATGACGTTGCTCACTTTAAAATCACTCTATTTGTATTACAAGTGTGTTTTAAAAATCAGCAAAGCAAACTCTCCTGGTCTCCAAGAACTACCACTGAGCAAAATATTCTCAGGCTTGTTTTGTTATCCTGTCAGCTTTGATCCTTTCAAACTACAGGGCAAACTTCTACTTTATTACTTTCATGTAAGGACTGTGTGCTTGCCTGTTTGTTGGGATGGTTCAGCAGTATGTGTAGGTTTTTTCTGCAGACCTGTTTCCAGAGAGCTCGTTACAACACCTGCACCTGGGCTCTCTGATGTTCCAAAACCCTTAAATCTTTCTGCTCATGTTATAAAGCATAAAACGGGAACAGTAGCTTACTGCTACTACTTTTATTGTAATATGTGGCGCGTAGTTTATATGTGAAGACATGAGGGCCTGTATCAATACAGCTGTGTGCAAATTTGGAAAAACATCCAATTGCATTTAAAACACAGATTTACTGTGCATAAAGAAGCAAACCAGTGTCACCGAGTGTTAGATTTGTTTAAAGGGGTGTTGCAGTCCCAATTTCTCAGACCCGTTATGAAATCTCCGTAACAAAATAAATTCATTGATGTTGTAGAAAAAGTTTACGAATTTCAAATTAAGCACAAAATCGTGAACGCTGTGAGAGTACTGTAAGTCGCCATGTTCTTGCAAACTCACATTCGAGTTCCCACAGATTGTGACATGATGCAGCCCTTTATGCTCACTAGTTACTGTAATGACTAATGTAATGTATGAGCGAATAAGTGCAGGTTGTGCAGCAGACACACTTCACTGTAGAAATGCTCCAAGGTGATCTGAATGCAGAGTTAAAAGTAGTATTTGTCAACAGAACCATATAAAAATTGAGAGCAATATTTCTATTGGATTAAAAGAGATGCATTCACAAGACTGCTTGTTTACAATGTCATAGGCCTGCATACGTCACCAGTAGTTTTGTTGCCTCATTCTGAATGGCAGAACATGGAGCTGCGCATACCTGGAAATTTAGTCTATTTTGTGATGTAATTTGAAGATTTTCCAAGTTGATGTGTACATTTTACTTTTATTAGGGTTTGAAATGCACTCATCAATGCTGACTCTTTCTAGCCCTAAAATATAAAAATAGTGTTGCAGTTTCCCTTTAATTACCTCAGAAGTTGTAATAATCTTTATTTTACACGGTGCCTTTAAAGGTGGCTTCTCAAAGCACTTTACAGAATGACAACAATAAAAAAAATACACAAGATATGCACAGTGAGAATACACAATGAGAAGAGACAATGCATGAGTATATTGAATACAGTAGGAACACAAGGGTAAAGAACAGAACCAGTTAAGTAAAGAAGTAAATTTTTCTTCTAAAGAAAAAGGTTTTGAGTCTGGATTTGAAGGAGTTAAGAGAAGGTGACTCTCTGATATCCTTGGGGATAGAGTTTCAGAGCTTTGGGTCATAACAGGAGAAGGCCCTGTCACCCCTAGAGTGTAGATGGGCTTAGGGGACAGATAGCAGACCAGAATTAGGAGAGCGAAGTTTGCGAAGTGGGGAGTAGGATGATAGTAGCTCAGACAAGTACTGAGGTGCCGAGCCATGCAGAGCCTTGTAGGTGAGCATGAGGATTTTGAAGTCGACATGAAACATTAGCCAGTGCAAGTACTCCAAGACAGGAGTAATGTGATCACTTGCACTGCCCCTGGTCAGGATTCTGGCTGCTGAATTTTAGACATACAGGAGTTTGTTCAATTTAAGAAACCCCAGCAAGTAGAGCATTACAGTAGTAAACTCAGGAGAAGACAAATGTGTTGATCAGATTTTCAGCAACAGTTAGAAATAACATCGAATTTAGTCTAGTGAAATTTCTGAGGTGAAAGATAGATGTTTTAAAATATGTTGCACATGTGGGTCGAATGTTAAGCCTGCATCGAATAAGATGCAAACCAAAGTTTTGGTTTGAGTCGTAGAGCTAAGGTGACCAAACAACTGGCAGTTGCAGAGTAGGCAAACCTGCGCAACAGGAAATAAGATGGCTTGATGCTTTGGACTTTAAAAAATGGTTCCAGTCATCCTGACAGAACAGGTGGAATCGTAAATCACCAATGGTGCCACTGTTTTAGTCCACAATATTTTTTGATTTGGGAAGAGCTTGAGAGGCTGAAATGACACGTTTTGAGACTGTAATGATCCCACAGAATGTTAGACTGTAGTTTGGAATTAGTTTCATGTAAGATGAGTGTGCAGAAATGACTCATTCACGTGATAAATGTTTGGCCTATATTTGCGTCTTAATACATTTTTATACGCCACAGTGGTCCTAATTTGAAGTCATTTGATGTTAAGGCTTGCATGAGTGACATACTGCAGACTCTGGGAAAGTGACTAATCTCCCACAGTAATTTCCTGTGAGAGGTGATGATTAAAAATAATGCTGCAAAAAGACACTTCACTAATCCAATCTATTCACAATTTGCGTTATTCCAATAAAAATAACAGAAAGTTGCTTAGTCTCCTTTGACTTCATTCCAAATGTCCAGATCAATACAAATCCATCTCTACATTCTGTCATGTTGGCAATTGAAAAAAGTTTTAAAGTTTCTTCTTTTTTTTTAAAGCTTGTCATTCTGTTTTCTGTTTAAGTAATGTTTCTGTATTACCTGAGCACCTGATAGATCCTTCACAGTTACTTTCAAAGCGTAGTTCTAGAAATGCTATACAAATCTGGTCTTTATCAAACCACAGGAATGGAATCCAGTGAGCCAGTGAAAGTATATTGCAGTGGAGACCAGAGTATAAAGGCCACCGTTGAATTTTACATTTCAAAGCACCTGGAACGGGTCCATTTAATTAACTAAATTGATCAGATATCATGAGCCTTTGCAAATGGCTGATTTGAGGTATCGTTTAAGATCCTTTGGACAGTGGCTCTCACCAGAACCAGGACTTGCCACCCCTGGTATATTGTTGAGAGTCTGTAGCCTAGAAGTCCTTTTACACTCCTTTTAACAAGCCTTTATAGTCTATTTAAAATTAAAATAAGGCTTGACTGGTAAAAAATAAATGCTTTAATAAATCTTCTTTTATTTTGGTTCTGGTGATGTATTCTTCTTGGGCGCTACTGTGGTGTAGTGGTAAGCATTGCTGCCACATCGCTGGGGCCCTGGGTTTTATTCCAGACCTGGGGTGCTGTCTGCGTGCACTTTGTTTGTTCTCCCTGTGCTGTGATGGGTTTCCTCTGGGCGCTCTGGTGTCCTCCCACAGTCTGAAGCCATGCTGGTATGTTAGTTGGCTTCTGAGAAATCTGGCCCTGGTGTGAGTGTGTGTCTGTGAGTCCGTCTGCCCTGTGATGTACTGGGGTTCTGTCCAGGGCATACCTTGCCTTGCTCCCTGGTTCCCCACAAAGCTGAATAGTATGCAGTGGGTAGAAAATGGATAGATTTTTTTCTTTTGACAAAGGACTGACACTGACACTGACTGACCCTCATTTGTGTTGCATCCCTTTCATAAGGTTTAGGTTTATGCAAATCAGAGAGTCCAGGTGGGCACATTTTTACTATTGATGCCTCTCTGGCATCCTTAAAACTCTACTGTTCTAGTGTGTCCAGGCTTCTTTAAAAATGTACTTTGCTATTAATTATCCACCTCATTTGGATTTGGCAGCTCTTAATCAGCTTACTGTTAAATCCCCATGTGCTACACAGTACAAACAAGGACCTGTGCAGGCAGTTCTCTCAACACACCTTCCTGCCAGATCCATTAGTAGTCTGAAGCCCTGCAGTTCCCACAGTGCCTCATGAGTGAGCAGCAAGTGAAGAAAATGTACTTCTCACTGACAGCGCTGAAAGCTTGAAGGTTTCTGGAGATTGCAGGTGCAAATCAAGTCAAGGATGCTGCCTGGAGTCCATCTAACTACAGACGTGTTTGTCTAAGCCTGGAACTAGCAATATCTGGACTGTGGAGATCAGAGCAGGTTAATGGTCTTGAGAAACTCAGCAATGTGATTTTTAATTCACAACTGTTCTATGTCCCAGCTCATTGCAACTCCCCCCTATCCCCACAAAGGGGGAATAAGGAAGCACAGACAAGCTACGCTCCTCTAACCACACACTCGGGCCATGTGGCACTTTTGACACATTTCAAGCTTCACAACGAGGCTGGTTCAGTGGTTCAGTGCTGACTGGAGGGCAGGTGTATCTGTCACTGATGTCATCACAGGCTTGTGGACATGTCAGAAGTCGCTGGGGAGCTGAGGCAATTGTGCTTTTAAAGCTTCTGTAATAACAGCCTTTCAAACCTATAATCAAGAGCTGTGAGACCTATAATTTTGAAGCCTGTAACCCCAGCTCAGGTTTTGAGCTTCATATTTCAGCCGTGGATCCTGATGTATTTTGCTGAGAAACTGATCCTTTGATCTTGAATTTAAAGACACTGGAAGACTTTGATCCTTTGACTTGTTCGTTTTTTTTTACCTCGCTGAGTCTTGGGATTGTTTTGGAAAGATTTCAAGAGAGGGCCAGGGCTGTACAGCCCGGTTCCTGACAGCTTGTCATTCAGCTCCGCTCCCGTCAGCCCTGCCAGGTCCTAACCACCCGGCATGTCTCTCGTCTTCTCTGATGTTTCTGTCGAATCAGCTGCCGCAGAACCTCTCGTGCTCTTGAAGGCCTGTAACAAGCACTTCGGCTGCGCGGTTCAGTGAGTGAGTGGGTCCCTCTGTTCTGTCAGACCGGGTGGTTTCTGACGGATTAGGGATTTTTGCTTTCCTGGCATTTGGCAAAAGCACGTTGTCAGCAACTTCAGCAACAGTGGCTTGTGCATTGACAGGCACACCTGACAGCCACAGTCCAGCACATTTATATTTTTCTTTTCTAATTCGGTTCCTTTATTTTTGCTTATTGTTGCTGTTTTTATGACAGGCCCTCTCCGAGTATTAGTAGCGTTTTGCTTCTAGAGCGAGCCTTCATAAATGTCCTCCAGACATGGCCATAATATTAAACTAATGGCTGGATGTTGTCTTGACATTGCACTAATCTTTCTCAATGCTGTCTGGAAGTGGTCCGAATATTGCAGCCTGGACATTGTCAGAATCTTGCACGAGCATATCTCGGTACAGTACTGCGTTTCAGTTTTATTGTGAAGGGAACAGTGTGAGCTCTGGATTCACCGAGCATATTGGCATTTGGCTTAATTGGTCAAAAAGAGCTTTAGGGCCAAGAGACGTAAGGGTATTCAAAGGTTTTTTGTTATTGATTTATGTAAATAAGAGCAAGAGAGTATTGTAGGGACAGGCATGAGCTCATCACAGGATAACTAGAGAAAGCGTGTCCACATGTCAGTAGTGGTTTATGGATTTCTGAACAGACCATTGTTTCTCTTCAGACTTGAGCACAAAAAATGCACAGACTACACCGTAAGTGAAGTGTAAATTATTTGGCATAGCACAACAAGCTAACCGTTGTGCTTCAACAAGGTCTGTCCAGAGACAAGTGTCCACTTATGCAGTCAGGAACTCCATACCTGCATGTTCATTGAGCTCAAAGATTCTCTCCCCATTGCGGTTCTCCTCAGCTTAAAGATCAAGGACTGTCTTACGAGAGAAACAGAGACTTGTTTTGCCCCGAGTCTTCATAGATTTGCAAGAGTATTTTAATATGATTTATTAAATTAAATCCCTATTAATTAATATAGTGATTTATCTATAAAGGGACAGTGGAAACACAGTCAGGATATTTGGTGGTGGTGGAACATGGAAAGGATTTACTTCTAGCATCTAGACAGGAGGTATATCAACCTGCAGTTCACAGCTGGCAGCCCACTGAAGCTCAGCAGGTGTGAGCCTGGTCAGTACCTGGATAGGAGACTCCTGGGAAAATTAAGGTTGCTGCTGGAAGAGGTATAAGTGGGACCAGGAGGGGGGCGCTCACCGTGTGTGTGGGTCCTAATGCCCCAGTTTAATGATGGGGGCACCACACTATTCACCAATCATGACCTCCTAATAATCCCCATCTCTGAACTGGCTTCATCACTTTCTCCTCCCCACTGAGAGCTGGTGTGTGGTGAGTGTATTGGCGCACTCTGGCTGCATCACATCATCCAGGTGGGGCTGCACATTACCTTTAAAACACTTTTGAGTGGATTGTCCAGAAAAGCACTCCATAAGTGGAAGAGTTATTTATTTATTCTGAAAAGGGCAGTGCTAAAACATCCTGTAACGTTCAATACAGCCAGACCAGTTGTTTCTCAAGTCAGTTTGCTTCTTCTCTCTCCCTTCCCCACCCCACCAGTGCCTGCGGCCCTGACCCTCGACCCCATCACCGCCCACCAGCGCCTCATCCTGTCCGACGACTGCACCATCGTGGCGTACGGCAACCTGCACCCCCAGCCCCTGCAGGACTCGCCGCGGCGCTTCGATGTGGAGGTGTCCGTGCTGGGGGCGGAGGGCTTCGGCGCCGGCGTGCACTACTGGGAGGTGATGGTGTCGGAGAAGACGCAGTGGATGATCGGCGTGGCCCACGAGGCTGTCAGCCGCAAGGGCAGCATCCAGATCCAGCCCAGCCGCGGCTTCTACTGCATCGTCATGCACGACGGCAACCAGTACAGCGCCTGCACCGAGCCCTGGACCCGCCTCAACGTCAAGAGCAAGCTGGAGAAGGTGGGCGTCTACCTGGACTATCCCAAGGGCCTCCTGGTCTTCTACAACGCCGATGACATGTCCTGGCTCTACACCTTCCGGGAGAAATTCCCCGGCAAGCTCTATCCCTACTTCAGTCCCGGGCAGAGCCACGCAAATGGCAAAAACGTCCAGCCCCTGCGAATCAACACGGTTCGCTTGTAGAGGAGCCCCGTGGGATTGGCGGTTCCTTAAAATCGCGGAAACGGGAGTCTGATGGACCTTCCTTAAAGAAACAGCCCAGTATCTTGTTTTTATCCATCATGTCTGGTGTTAAGGTTCTTTTGTCATGAGTGTGAGCTCTGCAGAGCGGGATGGCTGTAAATAAGGGACTTCGCGGTCACTTGATTTTATTTATTTTATTTAAGAGGTGGAATTGGGGTTCCAGCTATATTGTAGGTAGGTCCTGCGTTTGTTTTTGACTGAAGGGGTGGAAAGAAAATCCAAAGTTAATTCCGAAACGGGAGATGACATCTTGTTAAACAGGCTCCAGACTCTTTCCTGGGTTCATCTTTTATCCCAGCTCCCTGTTGAACACTGCGGTGTCTGTCGTTCCTGCAGTGCCCCGAATCTCCAGCTCTTCTGATGGAGTTAGCTGGGCTCATGAGTTTCAAGAATTCCAGTTTCTGCAGGTAATCGTGAGCAGCACGGCTGGGGAAGACATTCTCAGATCCACCACCTCAACTTTACCTTCCTTGCAGGGTAAAGGTGTTTCACTAGCAGAGCGCTCTGCTCTGAGGTGGAGGCCATCTCTTATCAAACCGTGTTAGGAGAGCGCTTTCGAGACAATAGCAAAAAGAATGCATTTCTGAAAACATTGAGCAGTTGTGAGCATCAGCTGACATTTTAAAATATTCAGATGGGTGGGGATAAGTGAGATCAGGGCTGTCAGAAGTCTCAGACGTGACTCGTATTGTGTTTGGAAATGGGGAAGCTGAGTCATCTGACTGTCACTCCTCGCCCCCGATGAAGTCTTGGTGCATTACAGAAAGCTACATAGAGCTCTGCTTGTTGGGTTTACAACTGGGCCAAGAGGTCTTACAGCCTCTGCTCCGTTCTGATGAGGAGTCCTTGTGTGTGATGGTCTTCAATGAAAACGAATCCCGATTCTGGTAAAAACACTGCAGAAGAACATGTCAGAACAAAGGTGCCCAGTCCTGGTCCTCAGCTCTTAATTGCTCAGGCTAATTGGAATCTGACCTTGATCATGCAAATTCGTCAGGGACAAGTCTCTACACGCATCATCTCAGAAACAGTCATGGGCCTCATGGCTCCAGTTCTCCACTTGGCTGGACTTGCATTTCCTCACTGGTAGCACTAATTGTAACTTGAGCATTTAAATTGTTTTCTGGCCCTGCGAAGATGCCACTTTCAACTTACAGTACAACCTATTTTTGTAGGAACAATCCAGAATTGAAACAAGATCTAGTTAGTAAATCACTAGTTAGATCAGGGGATCGTTAAAACAATCACTAGCTTTCATTAAGCAAGCTGAGAATGGAAGGACTGAGCATTTTTTTCTGGATGCCTTGCTATTTCTAAAGGACAGAGAACAAACCCTAGTTAAAGAATGTTAAATTAGGACAGCTAAGGATTAATTTGCCAAAGCAGTTGAGCTGAATTGCAAGGAAGAAATAGACACGAGGCCCCCTGGTGGTGTGGGAGTGTTAGTGCTGCGCGCCACACTCCCCCTCCTGTTGTTTCTGACTGGGGAGAAGTGCCGAGATGAGACATTAGTTTGTGATGCTATGGGTCAGGGAGCTGCATTTTTTAACTGACATGTACTATATGTTTTGTTTTTGTTTGTTTTGGGTGGGGTCTGTCTTGGGTTTCCAGAGTGATGTATTTGTACATTTTAAGTCATTATTTTCTCTAAATACTGCAACTTGAATTATTTATTAATCTTCAGTTTTAACTCTGGTGGTTTGTTAGGTCTCCGTTCAGATTTGTTTCCGATTTCTTTCTCTTCCGTTGGCGCAAAACTGGTCTGACACTTCAATCAAGTCACTTGGTGTAGTGAACTTAAGGTGCTTTGCAATTACTTGAACCTGGTAATTTGAAAAATGAGTTTATTTTTCCCCAGTGTTTTTCAATGAAATAACAAAAAAGCAGAAGCCCACAATATTCCCCTCAGGAGGATCTCCAGTCACTGCAGATGCCTCAGAGACATGCCTTCACAGTACACGATGACCAGGCTATATAACAGTATTCAGTAGGACTGATGAAACGCAACATTAAGGGCATGCAATTTGGAGGACTCTGCTCCATACAGAATTTGTTCTGGGTAGGTTGCATGCTTAAAGTTGTGGTGATTCCAAAAAACCTCCGCTGAGAAAAGCAATGTGGACATTTCAGACTTTCATTTCATTTCCCAGCAGCAGTTTCTCAAATGCGGTAGCTCCCTGGTAGCTGATGCTGTATCCAATAACACACACCAGTGCAGTCTATTGGATGAATTGTAATAAAACATTTTCTTCTACTGGTGAAATTCTGAAAGTAACCCATTTTACTTTTACAGATGTCTGAGACTCCTTTGCTTGGGGTGGGTGACCATGTGCAACTTCAGTCACAGTGGAATTGCCCAAAGCTTTTTTCAGCCATTTTGTCTCAACTGTTTCTCAGTCCCTCTGCTCCCTTCTCATTTTAATCACTACAGAACTGTTTCCATGTTTAAATGCCACCTGGACCTTTTCACGTCTCAGTTCTCTTCTGTGTCAAATTCATATTTGGGTTAAAATTTTACAAAGGGAGTTAAAGATCAACTTGGCATACATGGTTTTAGATGTAATCAATTTCGAGCCACTGTGATTCACTTTGGTCAGTTCATTTTCCTGCTTTATATGCCTACAATATACAGTTTCTTACCTGAACCCACTGTATCATCCTGTGCTGCAGAACACAATGTAGACATCATTTCAGGAGTTTGTTTCATGAAAGGCCAGCAGGCATTTCAATTTTAAAACTACATGACCTTCAGTTACACTAGAATGTAAATGTGCATCAAAGGTGTTGTTACTTTAAGTGATTGATTGTGGTTACTTTTCAGCAGCATTTGGGTCCAATAACTGTGACCTGCTCGCAAGCCACCATCCTGCAGGTGTTATGTGGAGCTCAAAGCCCAGTAAGTGAGCATACAGGTTGGTCACCACTAAGAGCTAAATTGCTTTATATCGAACTTAAATGACACAAGAACCTGAAAACCCTGTGGTTTTCCAGGGCCAGGATAGGCAACCCTCTCCCAGGGACCCTTGACAAGTAATAACAGACGTGGCTCATTACCCGAGGAAGCAGTCCTGCCATCAGTTCATTGTGTCTTTGCAGTCTACCGCATCAGTTTCAGAGCAATATGCTTCAGGTGACACTCGCGGTTGCTTATCAGGTGTCTGTAATCTGCTGCAGATAAGTGCGATCTGCTTCTCTGAGCAGTGGCTGCTGTCGAATTATCACTGTGTAAATACACTCTGGCTTGTGCCGCAATGAGAGATTCACAAGAAGTGTTTTGATGTAAAATAAAGGCATTGTAAATCTCATTGAGTGAATGTTTTTTTTTTCCTCTCGCACACTGGGACAAAAGCAGGGACTCTTTTTGTGGATTTTGCCCCCTGACCTGCGAAAAGAGGAGACGTGCTGCTGACAGAAAGTAATCCACAGAGGTTTTGTCCATCATTGTTCTTTTTTCTGGCAAGAAAGGCCTCAATCGCAGATGGTTTGTGAAGTGAGGATGGTGAACGGCCAGGTCTCCTTTGTGATGATTTTATGGGGGACAGATGCTAATTTAGTCATTTCTCCAGTGACATTGCACACATGTGGAACAGCTGATTCACAGGATAGCGTGCAGGATTAGTACAGAGCAGCACTTAAGTAAATATAAAGTTCTTGTTCTGGATATTAAGGACTTTCAGGGGATTGCCGTGATCGCAGGAAGAGCATTGTTGTTTAAAGAACAGTTGATTCAAGAATCGCATGCAGTTCTTTTTCGTGATCTTAGGATACTGGTTTGAATAACATGACTTGGTGGTTTATGTAATTAACTCATTTTCAGTCTGCAGCACTGTTTCCACTTGTCTTCTGAATTTCGTTTATATTCTTGAAGTAATCCATTTGCGTGTCATTACATTGAAACTCCTGTTCAAAACCGAAGAGACATAGTTTCTTGAAATTCTATGGAATTCTTTCAGACGGACTTGTTCTCCTCTTTAAACCATCTCCAGAGCTGCTAAATGCTTTCCAATATCACAGTGCCCAAAATCAATAGTTTGTTTTGAAGCATTTGTTGAAACTACATGTAAAGTCCAAAACTATGATACTGTATAATTTCAAGAAAGCACACTATGAAGGAAGAGTGTTTAAAAGTAGTAAAATTGTAGGAATTAAGACATTAAAGACATTGTTAAATTCCTTATATTTTAGTGCATTGCAAGAAAGAATTGATTTCAAATGGCTTATAAAATCCATTGAGAAAAATGCAAGGACAAGAGGAACATTGTAAAAAGATTCAGGCCATGTTAATATTTTATTTTTAAAACTGCTTTCCAAACACAAGGATGGTGTAGTAGTAAAGTTAAAAAAAAAGTACAGTACAATAAAAAATAAAGAGCAGGATATGGGTTTATGAGGATAGAATGTAGGGCAATCAGATATGGGCCTCAGTAAAAAGGTGAGTTTGGAGTTTGGATTTCAAGAGAGTTAAAGAATTTGTCTTGTTAGGTCTGAAGAAGGTCCTCATACGTTACTAGTAAAACTTCAAGTTACTCAAGACTGATTGTCAGCCCTTAAGAAAACTTGCTATTCCGGAACCCATGCATTAAAAGGACAACAAAGCAAATCCCAAGTTATTAAACTCCAATAACTCCTGCTTTTATTACATTATGATTAAAATTATTGCGATTATGGGAAGAATAATTAACTAGGTTCATACCGTTGACATCACTTCTGCAGGCATCCATAACGTGCATTTAACCTTCGGAGGGAATGACATGAGGAACAATTTCCTTGGGTGATGCACTACATGCAATACTACTTTTCACTTCTGTGTCACCATTTAGCTCGACCTCCCTGTCCTGGGAAACCATCTGTTTGACTGTCTTACCACAATCAGCCCCAAAAATGAGATAATCCAGTGCTGTTTGAGCACCAATGCTGACATGTAAGACATCAATTTTAGTTATAGAGGACTTATGATGTATTATACTGCTGGTCCTTCACATTTGTTCATAAAACTGAACCCAGTTTTTAATGCCATGACTTTAACATCACATTTTTCTGAGCAACATAAATAGATAGATACTTTATTGATCCCGTGAGGGAAATTGCAGTGCAGCAGCAGCTTTACACAGACAACACAGCACAGTGTAACGAATGAATACAATCAGTACAGTGAAAGGTGCACTAAAAGACTTATGCACAGTCCAGGACACACAAAGAACAAACTAGAACAGAACAGTACGCAGAAAAATCGTATCACACATATGAATATAAATATAGATGTAAATATAGATATAGATATAAATATAAATGTATTGCACAAAAAACGGTTGTAAACGGGAAAAGAAAAGAAAGAGAACAGAAGTAGCAGTAGATGTGTAGATGCGTTCAGTCCAGAAACAGGTCACTGTCAATCTTGCCTCTGCCCAGATGCAAGGTGGATGCGTTGTACAGTCTTATGGCAGAAGGCAAGAATGACCTCCTGTAGCGCTCCCTGTCGCACCATGGATGAATCAGTCTAATTCTGAACGTGCTCTTCATTTCTACAAGCCTATCATAGAGGGGATGGGAGATGTTGTCCATGATGGCCTCTAGTTTGGACACCATTCTCCTCTCAGCCACTACCTCCAGGGGGTCCAGGTCAGACCCAATGACAGAGCTTGCTCTCCTGATGAGCTTGTTCAGCCTTTTAGAATCCCCTGCTCTAATCCCAGAGCCCCAGCACACCACTGCGTAGAAAATGGCGCTCGCTACCACCGACTGATAGAACATATGTAGCATCTTACTACATACATTGAAGGACCTGAGCCTCCTCAAGAAGTAAAGTCGGCTCTGTCCCTTCTTATAGATGGCCTCGATGTTCTTAGACCATTCCAGTCTATCATCGATGTGTACTCCCAGGTACACTTCAGATTAAATATCTGTGTCATTCTGTGTAATACTTTTCAGAACATAGCCAGTCACCCACACTTTGCCAAATATTTTTTTTTATTATTGTACGGTTACTCCGTGTCACAGCTATGGTTTTGGTCGCAATACTATGATCTTCAGTGTCAGCATTAGTTTGGTTGGGATCACGGTTGTTGTTTTAACTTTTTCCATCACTGGACAGTCCCAGGCTAGGAACAGGAAGTGGTCCTATAAACCCCAGCAACATTGGCAAAGACATTTATCTGAGAAAACCATGGGGATTTTCTATAAGCTGAGAGTCTATGGAATACATCTGAGCTACTACTGAGCTACTGAGCACAACAACAATTTGTGCATCCTCAAAACTGGGTGGAATGTGATAAAGACCCACAGCTAATAGGAAATTGCCATTCTTCATTCATTTTTTTGCTTTATTGTAATATTTTTATTGTTTTTATATCACTTCCTAGTTGCAAATTGACACAATGCCATGCACTGCTGGACATAAAAAAAGTCTCATTCCTGACCAAGAAAAAATTTTGTGCCTCTCCAAAAGCAGCTCAGATCTATTCTACAGAACCTCACTTAATAGTACATAACCATGGTTTTGTCAGATAAGTGTCCTTGCCACTGTTGCTGGGGTTTATAGGAACACTTCCTTTTGGCAGCTCATACTCGATTATTCTCTAAGGGGACGTTTTCGCAGTGTGGGAATTGTTAATACTTCACTGGTGGATCATCCTTACTGGTTTGCAGTAAAGTGTCAATTTCACACATTTCTCCTTGCTGTTTATGGGATAACTGTTTGTGATGTAAAAGTAAGACATGTCATCAAAAGAGGTTTTCTCCTTAATTACATTTGATAGACTATATTGAGCCACATAAATGAATAGACCTTCAAACCAGGTAATGGCGATGGCTCACGTGTTGCCCAAGTACCAGTTGATAATTGATTCCCCCCAAGCTGTTCCGATAGACTGGGAAGTACAGATGCCTTGATACAGATGCCTTGCGGGTGTTCTGTATCAAACACAACAGACAACACCATTTTCTCTCAAATCAGATCAGCTTCTATTATTTCGACTGTAGAACTACTCAGACAGCATTCAACTGCTGCTTTAGCTAGCTGGCCTGTTATCCTTTGGAGACATCACAAATGCTGCACAGCAAAAGGTGGAGGAAAAACCTCATTTAACTGCAAGGAAACATCTGGGAATCTACGGCTGGCAGCTAACCCCTCCTTAAGGGTTACCTAATATTGACATGTCTTGTTCATCTCTGATTCCTAGGAGAGCCAAAGACAATGTTTAGATGAGGCAATTTTCTGGAAACGCATATAGAGAATATGAAATGTGTGGCATACAATTTAAAGGAACACATAGGGGAACACTAAGAGCACAAACAAGATCTAAATATTCAGAGCAACACTGGTGGCCAGCTCATAGGTCAAAATCTGTCGCATGGTCAATGAATCACACACAAGGTGTTTTACCCAAAATAAAATATTATTTGCATATAGGAAGACATACTGTACAGTCCACAGATACTGCTGTCAGTCTGTCTGGGGAAATGCCTGCATTCGTCATCATGTTGTATGCAGAAACTGATTTCAGGTTTTTGTTATGAACTATTAAATACATGTGTACTCATTTAATTAATTTGTCTAAACGGTGGCCAATACTTGCAACTCCATTGCAACTGCAGAATCCATTTACCTAATATTTACTGCAGTGCTTGATACTTTGTAAATTTCTTTGTGGTTTTGTTTTCTAGAACTACACAAATCCATTGTAAGGAATTTACGTTCACAACAATTAGTACTCTCTCAAATTTCCACCTGTTTTTTTGGAACTTAGGAAGATGTGGTAACAATCACATTCTGGAAAGATATAATTTCCTAAGGACTGACTAGCAAAGACAGAGTGCAGTACTAAAGTTCTTCTGCATCAATGATTCTGCCACTTAGTCAAATGCCTGGGCCCTGGAAAGTGCACTCGGAGTTTAGTGCCGTGAGTTTAACATCACATTTTATACTATACTATGATCTTCAGTATCAGCATTAGTTTGGTTGGGATGACGGCTGTTGTTTTCACTTTTGCCTGTCTATGACTGCACAGTTCCAGTCTGGGAACAGGGAGTGGTCTATAAACCCTAGCAACATTAGGAAGACACTTATCTGACAAAACCATGGTGATTTACTATTAGCTGTGGGTCTGTAGAATAGATCTGAACTACTTTTGGAGAGGCACAAATTTTTGTTTGGGCGGGACAGGAGTGACACCATTCCCTGTCCATCACTGCACAGTCCCAGTCTGGGAACAGGAGGTGCTTTATAAACCCCAGCAGCTTTGACAAAGACACTTATCTGACAAAAACAAGGTGATTTTCTATTAACTGTCGGTCTGAGCGCTATATT